TGTTTTGGAGGCAGCTTGATCTTCCTGGTCTACGGGCTTTCGGTTTTCTTTTGATTCTCTGAAAATACGTGACACCGTCCGCATACTACATTAATGCCCATTGCGTGGGAAACACGCTGAAAATTTAATTTATTTATTTTATGATTTATTAGACTTCGTATAATGTCACATGTATTAGTGATAGGCATGTGAATAAACTTTTAGGTTCTGTCGATGGTGAAAAAACCCTACAACTTTTTTTTTTCAACGTTCGAGAGTTCGAGACGTTCGAGAGTTAAGCTTCGAGAAACCAGAGTTATTCATTGTCTGTCTTGATAGTTTTCTCTCCATTTGAAAATGTAATATAATGTAAAATGTAATATAAGATATAAAAATTAAAGTATAATATAATTTTTTAATACATGTGTAACATAACAAGAAAAACATGACGCAAGGAGAAAAAACAACGTGAAACTTTTTTCAATAATACATATAACCATACATATAAATATTACCTCCTGAATTGCGTCCACAGGTAATAAGGGCCCATTATTACGTTTTTCGCGATCAAAATACTTTAGTAGCTTCACCACCATGTCCCTGGCTACTCCATCAAGTCTTTTGCCGGGCATTTTTTATTCACTTTATTTACACTAATTGTAAAGAACAACAAACCGGAAAACGGTGCAAAAATCAACCGCGCAGGTCTGAACCTTTGCTATACAAACCGTACGCTCATGATCGTCGCTGTCACCGTGACTTACGATATAGTGCGACCTACCTAATAATACCGTCTTTGTCTAACACATTTCTGCGTAAGCGGCAACGCTCCCAGAAGCACCAGAAAACATATGTTATTGTTATCCAGTACGGTCGTGCTCACTCGTTAAAAGTAGATGGCAGAAAATCTGCCAGTCGTGGATAAATGCATCAAGTGATGACGTGTATGCCAACATTCATGGTACGGACTATACAAGATTCCAGAATACATTAGAATAGTAGTCCATACATGCAGCAAACTTGATGAATTTCAATCAATCAATCTAGTACTACAATCTGTTGTATAATGTTTTGAGGAAATAGCAAATTAATTAGTGATACAGCATTCAAGTACTGAACCGTATTATTTTCTTTATTACATTAGCTTAGGGCCTTATCGTCAGTGGTTCCTACAATTGTATGATGCCTTTATGACCTCCTTGATTTTCATAAAAGATTTGTTCACAAGATCCCCTAGTGAATGGAGCAGAGACAGATGGAATTTCCCCCTCCTCTCGAACTTTTGACAGTTTCAAGTTACACCGGGTATGGTTGGGTGGCGCATGTTGCGCAAAATTTTTACTTTAAGCTCCTTGACAAGTTTAGCTGCTCCCTTTAAATCTGAAATAAAAAAACTGATCGTTTTTTTGTCCAATGCATATCAATAAAATCAACCATTTGATATGACAATTGCAGTTACTATATCTACAATCACCTCACAGTCTTCATCATCATTTAAAATCAGGTGGACCTGTTCCTCCATTGTCTTGATTTATGATTTAATAATTTAACTCAAATTTTATCAGCCTGAAATTTCCTAGAATTCAAAGAAAATATGACCTCAAAATAGAGGGCTGACACGAAAAACTATGAAAATCAAGGAGGCCATAAAGGCGTCCTACAATTTAGGAGCGACTAACGTTACGGCCCTTAGTACTTGCCCTATTGTATTTCTCATTCTGAACCAGCTCTTTTTGAAACTTTTATGGAGTTGCTCATTCTGAAGAAATATAAAATATAACATTACCCAGAAAAATCGTCATGCCCAGCCAACTTATTTATTTAAAAATAAATCGGTCATTTCAAAAACCCCATAAGTCACACAATTTGAATTTTGAGGAGACAATAATAACTGTCATTGGCAAATAAACCCCTTCAAAAGAACTTCTTTGGGCTTAATACAGTTTATTAGTATTAATAATGTAAATGGCCCGAAAAACTGTTTTTGACTTATGTTAACAAGAAAAAGGGTTACTGGTCTAGAACTTAAGAAAAAGAATATTAATATTCTATATTGCTTATTATTGAAAATTACTTAAATATTGAGTTAATAACATGTAATGTCAGGGGAAACCAGGGAAAAAGTGAACACCGGAAAAGTCAATTCTTCCGTTTTACTTCCAAACCTTATTTACTTAATCGGCAATCGATGGTACGAGAACCGACGTGTTTATTTGACTACTAAATGTAATTTTTCATCGCAATTTAGCAAGATAGGTATTGTGCATGTATAATTCCATTTTCATACTATCTATACGATCAGCTTTTTAAAATATTTAATTATATTTTATGGAGGTTCCCAATGAAACAAATGAGGAGGACTGAGTCAATAGTTTTTCTAGGAAACAAGAAAACTCTCAAATAAGTTATTTTCCGTAACCTTAGTTTTGTAGAAGAATTTAAAATTGGTATCTTGGTGCATATAGTACATAAATATGATAAGAAAACAAATTAAGGATCCTGGTACTGTTTACGAAATGACCTATTCAAGCACCCAAAGTCTAGTGGTGCATGCAAAAACAACATAAGTCTAGTGACAATGAACGTATATCATGCAGTATTGACTTACTTATGATGAAGTATGCATCTACCTTTAAGCAAGCGCTTTTAGCAAAAAAAAGCATTTTGGAAAAAATGTGATTTAGGAAAGGATCATTTCAAGTTCAAATACCATTTTGGAAGAGTGATTTTCCTATTTGACGCAACGTAGCATTTTTCACGAGCATCCATTACGTACCGTGCTAGAGAAAATAACAGCTACTTATCCAGTAATATTTTAAAATACCTCATATCAATAAGTGAGATACAATTCCAACGGATCTGTCGACATTAGATCCCTAGACAGGGTCGTATTTTGTTGTGGTCTTTTGTACTATACGGATTCATGCATCCTAACAAGATTTTACCCAGAAAAGAAAGTTCCTTCACACACAAGAAAAAATGCTACATGCAAAATTACTGCTAATGAAATGATCATGGCTATATTTCAAGTCACGTGGGAATAAAACAAGATAAACAGTTTTTTACTGTTTTGTATAAGCAGTTCTAAGTACGGTCCTGAGGTTTTCTCGATTTACACCCGATTCATTATTGCCAACACTATGGGCTTTAATTCAAAGATTTTACTTGGTGATCCGCGGTTCACCTCAGTAGAAGTCCACATCCGCCTATGACAATCATAACATTATAGATTTGAAGTATCACGCTGTATGACTGAAAAATTAAAAAATTAGCGAAACAAAAAAGTAATCATAGGCTATCGGTACATCAGGCTACGCACCTTAATAGTGTTTGACATTTCCTGAAAACAATGTATATAAGCATAGGTTCTTGAATGATCATCACACTTGCCCTTTCAATATTCTTATTCATAAGTAGGTCGAATACCATGTAATACCTGTACTACAGGTAAGGTATGATATATACGACTATAACAGAACCAATGAAAACTATTGTCACCTTCCATTCTCTTTGCATTTTTAATTTTTAAGTTACATTGTATAAAAACATCTCTTCCATTCTTAGTGACCTGTTAATGTAAGTGAAAACACATTCGTTATGCGATGTAGATATTTTGCATAGTTTGTAATATTCCAATCATGTATTAATTCTTAAATGTAGTTAGTGCTTTAAGAGGACTCATTTGTGATAATCGTTAGTAATATGGCTAATATAATTTTTGACATACCTTAACAAAATGTACAGCACCAAATGTTGTAAAATTCAAAACTTTATGTGTATGTATAATCATAAACCTTTGTGTTATTTTTAATTAAAATTCGACCGCATATTGCTATTAAATTTTGTCAACTCCAAAGTTCCCTAACCAGTTTTTTAGCTGTTTTAACGTTTCAAATAAATCATTTCTGTAACACTGGTTTGTAGTTCCAATTGTTTCAGAATGCATTGATATATGATTATTACGTAATAAATAATACAAAAATATCGTATTTTATTTAATTTCAGTTTCCAGAACGCTGAACATCTGCCTATATTTTTGTATTGATGGCCTGTGTAGAAACCAGATATTTCATAAAAATAATTAATGCGAACAATCCATCATATACAGGATGTTTTGGCGGGTTCTGGAAGTTGGAAGTTTCCTTTTCAGGAGCAATTACTCTTGGAATGACAAAGCTGATGTAGAGGAGGTACCGCTGTAAATTAATTTTTTGACTAGTATGAAAAGTTTTCTACAAAAGTTTTTTAGGGTCCAATACAAAATTTTTCTTGCAGTGGCTTCTCAAAAAAGCGCTATTGAATTTTTTAAATAGGTTATGTACATTTTTGTGAAAATGAAAGCTACTTCCTATTTCTCTGGCGGGGAAGTATGTAAAAAAAGTTTGTGATCGACAGTTGTAATATTCGGGGTTAATCAGGTCTTCCCCTATGCGCAACTCGATGTTCCTCTTGTCACGGAAGTCACACAAAACGATATCTGAATACACTATGAAGCAGCAACGGAATTTAAGTCATATGGACAAGTACGTTGTTAAGTAAGAGTACGCTATTTTCGGTTTTTTCAAACGCAGTTAATAAACAGTCGATTTACCAGCAGGATGGGACAAATAATAGTAATAGCTAGCCTGGTGTATTTGTTATAAGGAAACATTACTCATTATTACAGGAACTATACACCATGTGAAGGAAAGTGGCAAATACATCTAGACGTTATTGATCCAAAGTATTTCGGTGGTAAAATTTCTACCGCCAACATCCCAAACCTTGAAAATGGTCTAACCCAATGGGCTGCAAAAGACCACGCATGGAAAATAGCGTTCGATCATTTGTTTTTCAAATATTCATTATACTGTAGTTCTCAAAACGTAGAACAAAAATATCCATGGACCCAAAGTGGTCCCATGAGTAGTTTATTAACTAAAGGGTCCCAAGCTGGGCTATCCGCACCCTATTTCAGAGTATTCTGGGTATGGCACACTATCACTGTTATCAAAGATTATAAGGATAAGTAAAAACTAAAATGCTCATAGATATTTCATTTTATTCTTAAAGAAAATATATAACATTTTAATATACATTCAAGCACTACCAACAATATATAATTTACAAACATTGAGAGCACTTTACTGCACATGATCGCCTTGGCAAACGTCTAGAAAGTCCAATGTATAACTAATTACATGGAATTTCGAATTGAAATAAAATAAAAAATTACAACATACAGTAATTGCAAATAGCAGAACTGGTTTTGAGGAAAAATTGACTAATAGAATATGATCGAATTAAATTATTTGCAACTTTGCGAATACATGATTTTTGGTGTTGTTTTTATTCAGCTCTACTTTGCAATTGCTAGGAATTTCTTGATAAACATTATCGATATATATCTTTAACGCATCTTCATAAATGTATATACATGATTATGTGATGAAAGCCGATATTAGGAATAAGTGAATATGTGCGATGAACCAAGTGAATTAGAAATTCACCTTTCCTGAAAAAAATAAAAAATGTTCAATATTCACATTACGAAATATGATCGGATTTATTTTTCATGTCAATCGAATACGATTTGCGAACGACCCACAGTTTGTAGTGAGGAATATGTGTGTATGTGATATGCACCGGGGAAACCCGTGACCTGGTACTGCTTCACTCAATGAAACAATCCTATTATCTAGTCAGCGAAACTCTGCAAGAGGGGAAACGGTCAGAGGTGTAGCAGAAGCCAGTAGATGTGTCGTCTGAGAAAGGGTCGTCGCTGTCAGATTCGTCCCCAATGTTGATTATGATTTGACCCACTGACAGGCCTTCAACATGAACCAATCAGACACTATTTATCTTCTTGTTGTCACATGAGACAGCTTGAAAACTATTTTTTGAGTCATTCAGCATGCTCATGTCTTTAGGATTCTACAATGGCTTATAGCTGCTGATTAAAATTAAAAAAAGTATGCTATACGATTATTAATATCAAGAATGAAGTAAAAAGAAAAATATAGATGACAGTTTAAAATACACATGTTTTAGGATAATGAAATGCAAGAGTTCCATAGATGCGATCGTCAAAAACTCGACTTATGGACCTGGGACTTGATTTTAAATGAGTTTCGACCGTTAAAATTGATTTCGATGGCACCTTGTGACGATATGACGATATACTTGATTCGCTATGATAATTTTGACATCTGATTATATTGATCTTCTATATTCAAATTAGCAAAGCAGTATCAAAATTATCATAGCTAATCAAGTATATCGTCACAAGGCGCCATCGAAATCAATTTCAACGGTCGAAACTCATTTAGAATCAAGCCACATAATCCGTGGTTGCAATTGTAATAGAAATGTATTTTTCCAAAAAAATATTAAATTGATTCTAGGACCGTGAACAGTCATGCATGCATATCACATCTAACTAAATATATACGACCAGTTTTAGCCAGTTGGATGAAACAAACCTATTAATTATTCATCAGAAAGTATTGACGGTTTAGCTTCAGAAAACGTTATCTTCTATTTTATGAAGTAGGAATATCACTACCAACAGATTCACCATATTCCAATAGGTGTTCAAGATTTTTTTTCTAATGTTTTCAAAGGACTGCATCTCAAGTTTAGAGGATGCGGGCATAACTTTCTTTTTTAAAATGCGAGCCATTCAGCCGACTGATGTCGTAGCGGAGCGCTAGTGATCTCGTTTAACAGACTATAAAGATTTGTCCCGTCACAGTTCAGACGCCGTCATGCGTCGAAACAGTGAGGGGCGTGCTTTTGCCGTTGATGCCTACTTTTCGAGCGGATGATCTGGTATCGCAACCCAGCGGGTCTTTCTGAATCGCTTTAATTTGACCCCGTTGGGTCCTGTCCCGGACCGGAAATCAATTGTTACGTGGATCACTACGTTCAGACAAACTGATAGTGCGACAAAACAAAGAACTGATGTCCCTCGGCCCATTAGATTACCTGAAAAAATTGAGAGCTTGGACTTTCCGGTCGATCTGCGAGGAGCAATTCTTCATGAAGATCTTCATTTCCTTAGAAGATGGCAATTGTATCAATTTTCTCTGTTGTTAAAGAATTGTATCTCAATGTTTCTCTGAATCATGGATTAGGGTTGAGTTACAATTTTTCAAGTATGGTGAATCTAATGATAATTATTTCACAAAACATGTAGATAACGTCTTTTAACTTTAAGAGAAGTCATCACTTAGAGTGCGGAAACTTCAGCATGTAATATTTGAGATTTTTTTTTAAATTGGGGTAGTTCAAATCCTCAATATTGTTGCGAAAGAATGTACTTCAAGATTTATTTGGCATTTGACATATTTGGCATATGCTAACAATATGTAACTATCGGCAATTTATTATTTGTAGTGATTAGAGAAAATAAAAAAATAAGGATCTGTGTTTTTACTGACTTGAACGGCAGTTTATTAAAAAAACCGTGCTTACCTTTTTTTAGGTTGTGGATGAATGTGATGCTACAACATGTTTCAGCTTTCCCTGCAGATTCTTTAAAGCTACCGATTTATTCTTCAGCTCTTCCTCTAAGTACTTTAACTTCAGTTCTGCCACACTTTTTTCCTTTTCTAGTTCATAGACTTTTGAGATCAATTCAGCCTTATCTTCTCGAAGCCCCATTAGTTCCTGGTGAAGAATGTTACATCTTTATGGAGACAACTAATCGAATAAACAATTATACTTATTTTTCCAATGTTGATCGATTGGGTGGAGGTTAACCATACTAAGGAAAATTACGTATTATACAATCTCCCAAGCATAGTTGTAGAACAATCAATCGTCATGAGAAAATTTTAGAGGTCGCGAGACAAAATAAAAAACGTATGTCTTGAGCTTACACGAGCGAACGTCCATGTGTATGTCTGAGGGAGATGAAGCTATAAAAGTAACATCACTCGTTTTACTGTGACCCGCAAAAACCAGTGAAGAGATCTAAAACTACGAGAATTTAAGTATCGATTGCTACTGCGAGACATTTCGTTGTGTGACATTTAGTAACGTGGTAATTTTGAAGTATTTTCCATAACTTAAAATCCTCAAAAATTTCAACAGCCCCATCAAATGAAAAAGCTACCTGCATCAGAACGGCCATTTCCAGGTCCATTTTCCTAGCGTCCTGATAGCTGGTAGGGCACACAGGTACCTGTTCAATTTGAGTTGACTCCAGGACAACATACGTGCCCTGAATACTGCTCCTCTCCAACTTCAACCTTGAGATATGCTCCCTAAGTCTGAATTCATCATCGGACGTCCACGGCTCATCTCTATAGAAATTTATGATAAAACATTTTCCAACAATTTTTTATTTGAAACGCATATGTCAATTTGTATGGAATATGACAACCATCAAATGTCTACCGCAACTTCGCTCAATAGCACGGATCAGAGTCCCAGTTTTTGAGCGCATATATGAAAACTCTAATAAAACCAATTCGCACGACTTTGGTTGTCAGTTAATGAACGTTATTTAACGTCACTTCTGCTACACTACCCTGACTGCATTCAAAAAGTCCATTATGGCGTTATCTGTGTGACACGTTCTGTAGAGACCACATGTTATCTACGCATATATGGTTCGATTTGGGCCAAAAGAAATTGACTGACATGGATTTACATATCAATGAAATTGAGCACCTAAACAAGTAATTTTTTGTAGCAATATTTGGCTTTAAAAATGGCAACTAACGTACGTCCTAAAAGTTTTGACACAAAATTCATTGGCTTTAATTTTAACAAACACAAAATAATATCAAGTTTGTTTACTTACTTTACTGCCAGTTGACATTTATTTATTTTGAAGTTTTCGCTTTAAAATGTATAAATTAGAAATAAGAAAAACTATGTACAAGTTGGTTGGGCGGGTACCCGAAGCTGAAATCTCTCGAATATTCCAGAATGAAAACAGTTCACGCAGAACCATTTATCAAATAGTAACGGAGTGAGAGCAGAAAATACCATGTCTGAATTTCCCAAAAAGTGGAAGACACGTGCATTTACTGCACAGAGGTCAGAGAGATTGGTGAGATGAGCAAAAAATCAGGTTGGAATGTCGCAAAGGAGACGCTCGTTAATACAGATCTTCTAAGAGTAAATTAAATATCGAAAGAGACTCAAGTACCCCAAATACTATCAAGCGCAACTCGTTCGTATACCAAGATGCTGTCGTCAACTGAAGCGGGTACACTTTGTCAATGGAAAATCATTATTTTAGATGACAAAAAGTATTTCACGTTGAGTAATTCTGAAATGAAGGGAAACGACGGATTTCATAACGACAACGTAGAGGAAAGCCCTGACAATGTTAGATACAAACATAAAGCGAAATTTGCAGATAAAATCCTTGTATGGTGCGCAATTTCTGACAGGGGTGTATCCCAACCTTTTGTGGGAAGAGTGAGGGGTGAAGCTTTGAATAGTCAGAGCTACATTGATAACCAGCTTTCCAAATTGCTTCAGTTTGTCCACAAACATCATGCTAATGACCATATCATGTCATTACTCAAGAGTTACCTAAAACTGTCCTCGACAACACAACATACCTTTTGTTCCCAAAAACGATAATCCAGGCTCGCTCAATTGAGGATTTTTAGGCTTTACTGTCTATGAAGAGTTATCATGGAGGCTGGGAAGCCCAAAATGACCAATTAAGACAGCGAATTTACGAAAAACTGAAGGAAATTGATCTGAATTCCGCCCAGGGCTTCATGAGAGACGTTCGAGGAAAGTTGCGTCTGGTAGAGCAGAATGGGCCACATATTTCGATAGTACAGTATAGTTAAGTATTGAGTTGTAATGTATGATAACCAGTTAGTGTTTAAATAAATTTCTTCGTTCAAAACAATCCGATAAATATTTTGTGCGAAAAACTTTTAGGACATACGTTATAGCACAACCATAATGTCGGTGGACTACGAACAAAACTATTAGAACTGCATCATTTGATTTCATGTTCAATTTATGGCATAATAATAATTGAATCTTGGCTTAATAGTGACTTTAGCAATAGTGAATTAGGTTCAAGTAATTATGATATATTCAGGCTAGATAGGGACCCCGTTCTTTCAGGAAAAACCAGGGGAGGTGGGATACTTAAAGCGGTTAAACAGAAGCTATCCGCAAAATTATTGCATGCATCCCCAGGTTCTGCTGGACATTTTTTGTTCTTCTTATGTTTAATAATTGTTATAATTGGTAGTGTTTACATTCCCTCTCTATCCGACACAGAAGCGTACCTATAGCATATAAACGTTGCTAATACAATTTCCTTGAATTATGATAATAGTAAATTCATTATACACTACAATTTACCAAAGGCTTCTTGGTATAATGATGATTTTGGTGTTAATGTAATCTGACCAGAAAACTCCAATGCTGTTATATTATCTGACAATAGAAATGTAATCCTATATCTTACCTATATTTAGAGGTGATTGAAATTTTCATGTATCTGAGTCAATTGATCCTCTTTTCAAAAACTGCATTTATCATACGGCCGTATCATATGACTTGGCCTCAATCGTGAAAAAATGCTATCCTACGAGGAATATTCTTATGATTTTAGTCGCGGTGTGTGAATAACTTCTTGGTGCCATTACCCTATGAATCGATTTTAAACGACACAAATTTTAATGACAGTTGCTCAATTTTACGATATTCTTATGAAGGCATAAATAAATGTATTCCCGTGAAAATATGTAAACCATTAAATTTTCCATTGGTTCACTGCCGATTTAAGGGAATTGATAAACAAGAAAAAAATTGCATATAAATGGTATAGAATCATCGGTGGTGTTTCTGTCTATTATGAATTTTCCAGAATGCGGCAACAGTGCTCAGACCTAAGAGGTATATGCTTTGATCAACATATAATTTAGACCGAAAATAGTATTTCTAATAATACAGCGTAATATGTCAAAAACAAAACGACACTTACAAATTACCAATTACTATGACATATAACAATCAAACTAGCAACAATAGCGACGAAACAGTTGATATTTTTTCTGAATTTTTCTCAACAATATATACAATCGCGCAAATTAACCAAGTTCCAAATCATACATATAAAAGGAACAGTATTGATATAGCGCGATATCAGTGTAACATAAAGCGGGGAGTAGGCGGAATTAAAAGCGCCTGTAGCGACTCAAGACGGATTAAGCCACAAATCCCCGAGATGTTAGTCGAAACTTGTTTTGCTTGACCACCCACGCAAAATAAAAAAATCTAGTAGCAATGAGGACAAAGAGTTAATCAAAATGATATTTTACCTGTTTACATCAGGTTTTTTTATTAAGGAGTTAATTAAAATGATATTTTACCTGTTTACATCAGGTTTTTTGTCTCAATAAAAAGGGGTGGTTAACAAAAAAATCGGCTACAACCAGCTACAAAGCTCCCACTAAAAGGAACCAGATATTGTGAAAAAACTTGTCGCCCACATGAGCCAGCCACTTCTGGACATAGATTAATGCACGTGATTAGACGATATAAAAAAGAACTTACCACTGATGAGGTTAAAACCCCATAAAAATGCAGGTAGTAGCACCAAACAATAAAGAAAAACAAACTACTAACGGTAAGGTAGGTGCGAAAAAGGGTACAACTCCATAAACTGGTGATTGGGGCAGAATATCCCAAAATTTGGAAACCAAATAAAAGGCCGACACATCTCAACCAAGGCTTCAGCAGGAAATGACCGACATACAACATCACTGGTTGCCTATGGACAGACACTAGATTGTGTTATTTCCCAAAACAACTTTGCAGGTAAAAGAAATCAGTTTACAAGGGACCAACGGACATTTCTGGGATAAAACAAGGAAGTCATTAATAAAATATTATAACATTAGTGTCCAAAAGATTTCAACAAAATACCGAGTCGCTATATATATTTTCAAGAAAAGAAAACCATAGAAAAGGGTTTGGTCTAGGAATCAGTACTCTATCATTAATAAAGAGAAATTCAAATTACAAAAGTGATCAAAAAGTAGAAAAAAGTTATGTGATTTTGGCACGTTTCAATCACTCTATGAATTATGGTATGAATGAACCATTTAATAGAATCCTTAGATCTAGCAACGCCGTTGTAAACTACAATATAGATATTTTCAGTATTATTAAGTACATCAAAAAGCGCATGAAAAATGTTTCAATTCAACATTAGTTTGCTAGGCTTTAAATATAAGTAGGTTTTTATCACGTGAACGTTTAGTTCTTGTTTAGTTTAATAATTTATATAAAGGTATTGTAATCTGTCTCATAAGCATAATGTTTTTTTAGGTAATGGAAAACCGTAAATAGACTAATAACCAAATAAATATTTCTGCCATATATACTAAATGTCAACTCTTGGCAATACTGTCTACGAGTACATGTCGACCCATATACCATATTTTCAAAATTTCTGATCAAAAGGGCTATAAAATCAAGCAAGAATGACTGACAAAATTGTACGCGTCGCAGCAGTTTACATTTGTTACATCACATCTCACTATCCTTTTATGGTTTTTTAAATCTATCCACTAAAATTATGTAAAAATTGTGAATGAATTATTATAAGGTAGTTCGGCAATCTGTCAAAAATATATAAAAATAGGTCGGGGATATCAAACATGTGTAGGAATATAGCCGGAACATACAAAGAATATTGCCATATATTGCTGTCTACTCTATTGCACCTAGATAATGCAGTAAAAATATTGCCCTTTTAGAAGCGCCATAACATATTCCAAATTACCATAAATATTTATCAGGAATAATTTTTATGTTGATGAAAAAGAAAACCTCTCAACTCAAACTCAAAATTATGATTCCCAAAAGTGTATTCTAGTGCGCCGAATGATAAAAACATATACTCACATGTCTGACAGTGTCGTATTACAAACATGGCCTTGCCACATTGAAAACAACAGATCTGTCTCCTGACACGAGTCCAAATTGTGGAGTAGTTGCTTAGCAACTGTTTCTGCAGCCATCCTGTTCTCCAAATTATCTGGCTTATTCTCTTTGAGAGATAACTCCGTTTCCAGTAGGGCCAAGAGTACATCATATGCTTGTATTGTTCGATCGCTGATGCCTAGTGCAAGCCGAAGTGCTATGGCGTTTGATTCGTATTTGCCGCATAACAGAGTCAATCTGAAATTATTTTTGAAATACCAATAAGAAACGTCTCAACCCTTCAGACACGGAATGTGCATTAAAAGAAATCCATTGCGCCATCTAAAATATTATAACGAAAAGTTAATTCATATTTATTGACATTAATCTAGCAGTATGAAAAAATTACAGCTCAAACTGCATTCAAAAATGGTAAGATGACATTTGTAAATGCGGTCTGTTCCAGTACAAAAATGTATTTTTTAACTGTTTAGTATTTATGGTAAATAGTTTATAATATCTATTTAATCTACATATATTTTATTAATAGGGCTTCATAAAACTGATTACTTTATGTTCATTATGAGATTTCAATATAAATACGGAGACGTGCTTATAAAATGCTGAAATTTAATACGGTTATCAACTTGAGTATTTATTTTAAATATAGTGGACTAACGTGAATCATCAGACCCTGAGTCCAGCGTACTTGTCAAGAAGAATCAGACGATTCCCAACATGGATTTGCATCGTTTTATTGCAAAGTTCTCATGGCAACCTTCTGCCTCCATTGGCAGATCAGCTCCATGTCATCATAATATTGCATTGTTACATTGGAAGTCCACCATATTAGATTTACAATCAAGTAGTTTTACTTATTGTGTTTCGCTCATCGAACCTTTTCATTAGATAAGTATATCATAGGATGGAAATTATAAATCGCCATTTTGCGTCGGCCGCCATATTGGATTTAGAAATACCTCACTTTGCTTATTGTGTTTCTCTCACCAAGCACTTTACATTTAATACCCATATCATAGAGGTTACTATGGAATTGATAAATCGCCATTTTGTAGCATCCGCCATATTGGTAGTCAAAATAGCAACATTCAGTTTAATGTGTTTTTCATGAAAACTAATCGTGTGCACAAAATTTCAACTCAAATTAGTGTGGGCCAACTGATTCTGAATTCAGTTTCAAGATTTGTCTCACACACACTAGCAGGTCAAAACAAATAAAAGTTGAGTGTCAAACTAAAGTATAAATGTACCTCTATTCAACTGTACGCGTCTACAGAGTGCAAAGCGCTGGCAACCCTGACTATTTTCCATCAAAATACATTTACCCTTAGGCTTATGGTCAACTTTTAGGAGCAAAGCAAATTACCTAGTTGGCTGACTACCAAATCGCATTTTTACCCTAGAATGATTGTACAAGAATATAGAAGATGTCTCACGTAAAACTGCGACGATGACTTATTCGAAAAGTTGGCGTTAGAAAAAAAAATCTAGGTACAAAAGATGAGCGCAATTCTGCTAAAATAGTGAAACAGGCTCCAGTAGCCTTCGAACTCGACAATTAATTATTGAATAAATGATTCAGTTCTGTGTTGGTTTACTCCCTAGCTGAAAGGCCGTACTCTTCAAGTAAAGTTTGTGGGACATATGTCGTGAGCCTTTACTGTTGAATCAGGTCTACCTCATGGATGTCACCTTGACCCTAGACTATTCTTTGTTTTGGTTTATGATATTGGCCGCCTTTTCAAATCAAATTATTCACTTTATGTGGATGATGTGCAACTTTTTAGATATCTTAGATCCTAAACATCTAGAGATTGAGTTCATGGGGAGGATAACTGGCTTGAAGATGTGTTTGGACATGTGCTTTATTTTTATATTATTAAATAATATAACTAATTCCCCGGGTTATTGAGAAAAATGCATGTTTCAGTTTATACCAGAATTTTGAGATATAATATAATTGATCTGACACAAAACATACCCAAAATCTCACTATGAATTGTCTCGCCTCTAACATAAATGATAATGCTGATTTGGATTGTATGAGGATTTAGTAAAATGTTTGTAGAACTAGGCTGGACAGGTATATTTTTAATTTTGTGAATTTTAAATGTAGTGCAATTTTTAAAATGTAAAGTCATTTTCTATGAACATTTGTCTGATATACATTTAAATGTTTAATATTTTTAAGGTAAAATAAATAAATTAAATTAATTAATCAATCTCTATCGTTGAATTTTAAAACGCACAGTTCACACCAGCTGAGACCATGAAGAAAATACTCACATACTCCGTAAAAGAAGTAATTAACTTACTTATCACACTGAGCCTTGATATCACTTATAGTTAACGACAACACGTTATTTTGCGCTTTGGCGTGGTCTAGTTTCGCGTTCATCTTCTTCAGTTCCATGAGCAAAGACTGCTTCTCCGACTGCATATCGCACTGCCCCAGGATATCACCGACGATTTGTTCAGCTACTACGGTCGACAAATCCGAATTGACTATATCTGTCGGACTGATGTCCGCTTTCAAGTCAGCTGCCCTTCTCAGTTTGATTCGCTCCGCAATTTTGCTCACTGGTGACGTGACAAATACAGCGTTGTTTTTTATATTTGGTTTGTTGGTTGTCGCCAAGGATTCCCTGCAAAAACGAAGAATAAGTGTATTGAGACCAATATCTAAAAAATCGAGATAGCCAACTGATAAGAGATTCGATGTATCCATGTGGCGACACTCTCGGAGTTGTTTCAGAACCTCTCGAGTGTATATTGAGCACAAAAATAATGCCACAAGTTCCTTGCCGAAACACAGGCCCCGAAAATGGACGATACTGGAAATCGGTTTGTCCTACATAATTAAACGAAGTTTTGAAAACGCAATGACCAGTTTGGCCCTCTCATCCATTCATTTAGATCGCCAGGACGATAAATTGCTGATTTTTCAGTCTTGTTCCAATATTGTTCCTACCGATTTACACTGCAACTAACATCAACAAAAATCTAAAATTGCAATGAGTTATCCAACCACGATTTTTGAATGTGAGAAAGTAGAATAACTAGTAGATAGTGTTCTATTGCCTTTTCTAGCAGCTCTTGACACAGATGTGAAAACAAATTTTGACATTTATCAAATAGGTTTGTAAATGAATTCGTTTTCAAGTTTTTTTGTGTCATTAAATTTTCGTCTTTAGATAATGAAACTGGATATTTCTTCAGCTATTTTTCAAGAGAATGACCGGGAGAGTCGAAAAGTAATAAAATCACACCGAGATTCTGTTAGTCATTTTAAAGAATTGGCCTCCTGAGTTGTTACAAATTCATTATCAGAATTCCTATATTTTCAAAACGGTGGAACCACTCAAATAGATTGAGAATTGGAATGCATGAGAACTGTACTGAAATAAAGAATGCCACAAATTCCGCATACGTGAACGTTAAAATAACTTCATCTGAATTAAAGTCGTGTGAGCAACGACAAATGATGAAATGAATAACGTTTACATTTGCGGTATTTGTGATTGCCAGAACTCTCTATTGGCTCGGAGATAATTGGGACTACGAGCGTTTAAATATGTTATTATGTATTTTCAACAACTAAACGCAATAAGTCCAATCGAATAATGTTTCTTATTAATCCATAAGCGTGTCAAATCAAATTTCAGTGGACAGCTAATTCTCACCTCGTATACATTACATTACTGTCATCTCGCTGAAAATCTCCCAAATCAAGTTTTTCGCTGGTCTCCAAATGCTTTACCGGATTCTTTTCTGGGAAAGTAACTTCATGGCTATTGTCCTTTTCCACTTTTGTTTGCGACAACTTGGCCCGTGTTTCCTGTAACTGTCGTTTAAGGATTGCTATTTCATTTCTGAATGGTTCTACAACATTTGAGATCTGCCTGTTGTCATGTGGTTCAAGCTGTTCTGCTGGGCTATTGGATAACTGAAATAGTCATAAAATTAATTGTAAGTACACAACAAGATTGACGTTCAGAGACTACTGAGCAGTAGATTAGATCAGCACACAGTATACAGGGTGTTCAAGATAAGGATCATATGCATCGGTATATCAATACCTGTGGGAGATACAGTTTAGGTTAAATTAGGAAAAAGCTACGTTCTTTGGACGTATTTACATGCCGTTGAGAAACTATCATGGCTTACTGAGGTATTTGGGAAAAACTAAAATTTGGCCAAAAAGATATCGAAAAACTGATGGAACCTTTTTATTGGCACTTTTTATGCACAACATGATGGTGTTTTGAGTCTGATATAAAGAAAAATGTGTTTTTTACTTTTTTTATAGGCGTTGCAAACAAATGCTTGATGTAAGATTATGTGATTACTGATAGGTGCATATTACATATTACGTAATAATATGATGGGGTAAAATTTTATATAATGATGCTTAATCTAGTGATATTTAGAATGATGAATACATTTTTTACATTACTTTTTTCATTCACAATAGGTGTTCAAATAGGTTGCCATTATTTTCTAAACACAAATATGATTTTCTCACAGCAGAATTAAAAACATGTAGCATTGCTGGTGTACTCATACTACTGCTTCCATTACACATTCTCGTAACTGCTAGTTGCAAAAATATGCTGATAAACTTGGTTTTTAATATAACCCCGAACAAAAAAGTCCAGAGGAGTTAAATCCGCGGAGCGCGCTGACCAGGTCACTTCACTTGAGGTACTAATCCACCTAGCGGGAAATCGCTGAGAAAGATACTCTCGAACTTGCCCAGAGTTATGTGCAGAAGACCGATCTTGTTGAAACCAACAGCTATTAACCTGTGCCAAAGGTAAATTATCCAGGCAGTCTTCTAGATCATGTTGCAACAATAGAAGGTACCGTCAATGAGTTGTGGAAAATTAATGGATCAAATATTTTGGTCTCTAGAATTCCACATCACATATTAAACCAAAAGCGCATCTTGATGTATGGATACTTTTTTAGCCCGGTGTTGCGGCGAATAAAGATATCATTATTAGAGATCATACTCTCGTCGGATCATATTGTGACAAATAGTACTGTTGGCGCCATCTGTTGGGCGAGTCTCCTACTCGCCCGGGGTTCATGACCGATCTCTGCTTTTACGCGAACCACGACCGCACAAGCCGCTTGGTGGCGTCTGTTAGGACCGTGGCAGTGACTCACCTTCTAGATCGACGCGAAAGGACCTCCAATATTCTAGATGCCGCTTTCTGGTTTACCAGACCTTTCTCGAAGCAGCAATGGGGACTATATATAACTCGGCGGCCGGGAGATGAATACGGTAGAGTAGCAGAGCGGAGTGGAGTATAGTGCATTCAATGGCGACATCAGAATTAGTCAGACATAAATAGTGGTATATATATATATATATATATATATATATATATATATATATTAAGTGACATATAAATCCGAATACCCAGTTTAAATGGTTTTATTTTAATAAAAGTTGGTGAATGTATTTATCTTACTGTAAATAACAAGTGAAAAATTTTTCAGCCTTATCAGTTGGACATTCCGGTTTTTATACTGCTTTTTTTAATTCACTAACGCTCTAAAAATGAATATTTCAGCCGCAGTAAAGAATCAACGTTGGCGGATTTTGGTTCTTGACATCCTTTACGATCGGTTACGATGCCTAGAGTACGGAGACCTGTACGATTTCGTCAACTTAGTGAGTTTGATAGGGGCCGTATAGTGGGACTTCGGGAAGCTGGACTTTCTTTTCGGGCAATTGCAGTTAGAGTACAAAGAAGTGTAGACACTGTGGTTAGGTGTTGTCAGGCATGGCTTCGAGAAGGCCGTACGCAAAGAGCAAGGGGCACTGGACGCCGCCGTAGAACAACAGACCGTGAAGATCGCCGCCTAAGATTATTGGCCTTGAGGGACCGTTTCTCCACTACCAAGTCCATTGCAAATGAATGGTTTGCAGAACACGGAAGACCTATTGGCATGCGAAGTGTTTACCGACGAATGAGAAGTTTTGGCTTGTTTTCATACCGGCCACACTGGGTCCTCCCTTTAACTCGAGAACACCGACGTAATCGCCTTGAGTGGTGCAGACAACGGTCACTCTGGGATCAGGAATGGAACAGTATTGTCTTTAGTGACGAGTCTCGATTTTGTTTAGGCATGCACGATGGTCGTGCCAGGGTTAGAAGGCGACGTGGTGAAAGGAGGAATCCACAGTTTTTTGTTGAAAGACATGTTCATCACACTGTTGGAGTTATCGTTTGGGGTGCTATAGCTTATGGTTCCAGGTCACCTTTAATCTTCATCAGAGGTAACATGAACGCGCAGCGTTATATCCACGAAGTTCTAGAACCCCATCTTTTACCCTATCTTGACACCCTGGCAGATCCAACTTTCCAACAAGATAATGCCCGACCACATGTTGCAAGAGCCACAATAGACTTCTTTCAACATAATGATGTCACATTGTTACCATGGCCACCAAGATCTCCCGACTTATCCCCAATTGAGCACGTGTGGGATATGATGGGTAGGAGATTGCTCAATTTGCAACGTCCTCCTCAGACTCTAGAAGCACTTCGAGAGGAGTTGGTGGTTGCCTGGAATGAGATACCACAGGAGGACATTGACCACCTGATCAGAAGCATGACTAGGCGCGTTGGAGAATGCGTAGCACATCATGGTGCATCCACACATTATTAAAGGTCAAAGGGCTTTAAAGCAGTGCAATCATTTTGAAATTTTTATCATTTACTTATTATGCTTCATTAAGTACTTATACAAAATTTTATTAAAATAAAACCATTTAAACTGGGTGTTCGGATTTATATGTCACTTAGTATAAATGTTCTATCAAGTTAAATAAATTAGTGCATTTCTTTTTGTGGAATACAGTGTTTTAATCCACACCCAAAAGAACCCAGAAAAACGCTACATTGGTGTCAGGTGTCGGGTGTGGATTATATTGGACATTTAGTGAAAATGAATCGGACGATCAGTGAAGGAAGAATGGCGCGATTGGTTGATTTGAAAATTTCCGATTTAAAGAGAGAGCTGGAGGAAAGAGAGTGCGACACGGCTGGAAGAAAGCAGAATTTCAGGAGCGGCTTCGTCAAGCACTGATTGAGGAAGGTGATGACCCGGATATTTTCATTTTTACCTGTGCAGGGGATATTGGTTTAATGCTGCAAAACCTTTCGACCAAGTTAGAAAATGGAAAATTTTGCCGATCTTTTAGAAAATTCGACCAAGTTAGAGAACAAGCTCATGGAAAATTGTGCCGATCTTTTAGAAATCTCGACCAAGTTAGAAAAAATGTTCGTGGAAAATTGTGCCAACTTAGAAGGAAAGCTCATGGAAGATTGAGCCGATCTTTTAGAAAACTCAGCGAAGTTAGAACTTAGGCTCGTGGAAACTTGTGCCAACCTAGAAGGGAAGCTCGTGGAAAATTGTGCCAACCTAGAAGGAAAACTTGTGGAAAATTGTGCCTACCTAGAAGGAAAACTCTTGGAAAGTACAGCCAAATTAGAAGAGAAGTTTTTAGAAAAAAAGTCCAGGGAATTATATTTTTTTTGTTTTAAAATATTCATAATGATGTATGTTTTTCAAATATCGTGGCGAATCTGTTCAGTTACTCACATATACGAAATGTTTGAATCTGTTTAGAAGGAAAAAACGTAACCCATCGTTTCTCGCATAAAAATAGCAATTGTCTTTCGGAATGGTTTGTCGGCTAGGTAAATTCGTATATTTTGCTATAAAATGCCCTTTGAAAAAACTCTGTATAGTACTCAGTAAACTAGTAGTGATGGCCCGAAGACAGGTGTTTTGGGGTAAACAATTAGAAATTTTCAAAAACTACTTGACGAATCGACTCCAATTTTGTTGTGGTTAATTAGAAGTATGAAGCCTACGGATTTGAATAATTTCAAGTAGTTTCATGAAATTATCGTCGCATTAGCAACAAGTGCCAAAACCTGCATTTTGCTTCGGTTTTCGGCCATAACTTATTTACTACTAGAAATATCTAAAAATCTTATTTGAAGAGTTGAAGAGTTTTTTCATTCCTGTCAACATTTTCGACTGCATCCCAAAAAACGGGTTTTCTCATTCTTTTTTGTCGAATAAAAAGTTTTCCCGCAAAAATGTTTGTACCCATTTTATGCGTCCATGTTTTAAATACCCCCTTGAACAACTTGCATCAATAAAACCAGACTTTACAATTATTTCGCACACCAGGTGTATTTTCGTTTAATATATTTAATAATATATTAAATAATAATATTTAATAATACATGCAATATATTTAATAATACATGCAATAAATGAGACTAGATTTTAAACAATATGTACGGAACATTAGTAGCAATATAAAAAATACTAGCTTCTAAGCTAATTAAATAACTTACCTTATTTTCACTATCTGAAACATCATTATCCAAGTGATCAGATTCACTAACATCTAAAGGGCAAGTTATGGACTCCTCGTGGGCACTAGTACAAGTTTCTGAAAAACAAGTATTATGCGGTTGAACAGAGAAATATTGTACATTTAAACGAATTCTTGCAGTTTCAACTACATAATCGTTTACAGTAGGTGTCCAAGAGCTCAGTTTCCATCAATTCCAGTCAATGAACTAGCATCATGATCACAATCAATTTTTGTGATATGGTTTAAACTGTTATGCACTTTAGGAGCATTAATAACTTAAAAAGTATTCACCTGATACTTCATCTTCCTCATTTATAGCCATGATCTGCTGTTGTTGTAATTTTCTAGTTAATTCTGCTATCACTGAATGCAATTCTGTCAGTTGCTCCTCATACCTTTGAGCTTGTTCATCTAGCTGCAGCTGGAGTTTCTCCTATAAAATTAAAAATACATAAAATAATAAAGTGTCTTTATTCAAGATGAAGTCTGACCCTCCATTTCTTTACCTTCCTTTGTTATCTTGTCAGTATGTGATTATCAAAAACTTGTTTTGGTTGTATTATACTTGTTTTAAAATTAAATTCATGAAAGCATTTTGTTATTTCAGTAGCGTACTTTCATTTCCTCCACAATTGACTTAAAAAGTGTAAGGGTCGTCTGTCAAGATACGAAATTTTGCGCTAAATTTAGTACGCTAAATTTCGTACAAAATTCAGGATAGTGTCAGGCAGCATTTAGTACATAATTTTGTATGAACAAATTTAGAGCTAAATTTTTGATATCCTGCTCTACAGTATATCGTCGGCTAAATACGTCAAACTGCTAACTCCTTTTTGTGAGGTTTATAGGAGGAACAAAAAACGAGTTTACAACAATGGTGTGCATTTAAACAAGCCGCTATTAAAGAAGAATATTTTTGATGATATTTTCAATGTGTTAACAAGAAAAAGATGTGGAAAAAATTACTGTATTAGATTTTATGGACAAAAACTGTAGTTGGCAGTTGTTCATTTGAATAGAAAAGAAGGAATTTTGGAGTTAGCAACTTTTATTTTTAGTAGAATATTTATTTTAGTGTATTCAAAACATCTAAGTTGAAACATCTACGAATCCACAGGTGTGGCAAATTATTATAAACATTGTGATAGTCCGCTGGAGTAGTACAGTTAATTTCTTGAAGGTTGGAATATTTTCGCGCAGATATTGGAATTTTATGGTCCAACACGGTCCAGGCAATAATGTCAAATTGAGATTTTGCTTTGCGAAAGTAATTCTCATTCATCAGACAACCGAAGTTTATGATAGATGTCACCTACTGGTCAAATACTTCTAACAGCTCCTAACTTTTTTTAATAATCGGGAGAAAGAGTGATCTAAGTACATTACCTCGTAGGGCGTAGGATTTTTTCTAGCTTTTTTGCAGAGGTATGCATAATCTGCAGGAACGTTTAGCCTTACTCGATTTACACAACGTTCTATGATGGCATGCATGGAAACCTCTTTCATTTGAGTATGTCCAACCTCTTAATATTTATTCTCAAGTGTAATATCATGTTTTCTGCATAAATTGAAAGCTGCGTTAGCCAAAGTCGCGTTTCTGTTTTGGTACGTTCATCCATCATATTATCTTTAGGTCATATTTGTCCACTGTAGGAATGACTTTTGTTTCCAAAAATGAGTAGAAACATGAGGAAAATTCTTCTGCGGTCAGTCCACCCTTCCCCTCATGCCAAAGCAAAGGCTGTGAACGCATAATTTTATCTTGTTATATGATGCTAACATTAGATTTAGGAGACATTAAAACAGCTTGAAGATCAACAGTAGATACGCATTTCTCGTTTTCCATATCCTTTTGTTTTTCTGCTCTGGCCTTATTTTTGTTCAATATATAAGCGTTATACAGGTGGTGCGCAAAGTTAGGGTTTTCCTTTATACGACGTGCAGACCTTGAGAAAATAAGCGCATTTTCATATACATCAATGTCTTAAGAGAAACGAGATATTGGGCACCGCAAATCAATCCTGAACCAAACCGAAGACTGTCCTGACCCTCGATCACGTCCACAGCGCCAGCGTACAGTTATACGACGTACGACTACGATGTAAATACGCTAATATGCAACCTAACCTAGACGCCGGTAGGGTAGGTCAACAAACCATTACATTGGTAACCGACTGGTGTTCAAAAAATAAAAAAAAATGGCACACTCATACACCAATAGCTAACTCAAAAATTCAATTTCATTAAAAAAAAACAATAATAAATACTGATATCTCCCAAATACGCCCAAACGTAATTTAAGACAAAAGCTGCCACTCTAACATAACGGTAATTTTGCTTACTACAAACCAAAATAAACATATTTTTACAAAATCAAACTTACCTTTCATCAAAAAGTATTACCGGAACACCAAACTAATGTCAAACTGAGATATTTAAAAAAGAAGCCACGTTTATTCTAGAGGTGAAGAGCCTTTGAGGACACACGTGTACCTGGAACTTTGTTTTGCCTGGAGATAGCAGTATTTCGATGAATAAAGTGTGGGGAGCAGACCGGATGTAAACAAAAGGTTCGGGTGATTTTCACGCTAACGCCGCCGTCTCGACGTAAAACAGGAGCCCTCATTGGTCAATTCGCAATTAAATGCCTATGCCGAGCGGCAGAGCAGTCGTATCAAGGCAGAGTCACATTCAGGTTCAGACGTGTTACGTATGTCGTGTGCATCATTGCAATTTGATATTTCTTTGGACGTTTTCGTTTGTTATCTTATTAAGTTGTTGAGTTTGTTGTTGTTATTGTTATACCTTGTTATTGATTGTTATTGTTATCAACTGCTTGCGCAAAATGCCCAGTAGTACAGATACTGCCGATGAAGTTGTAAACTCTTGTAGTCCACCTAGGAAACGCTCTAAAAAAAGACACCTGAGTGCAGAAATGAAAGAGGTCATTTTGAATATATATAAGATCGAGCGCGAGGAGAACGAGGCATCAACCATCAAAGAAATTGTTGTGAAGGTTTCTCACAAAGTTGGGGTGTGTCGCGCATCAGTGTTTAATGTGTTAAGACAATACAAAAAAAATCACACCTTTTCTGAGCCAATGACCAGTAAACATCGCAAAAGTATTGTTAAATCATTGGATGAAGCTGATAAGCATGCGATTAGGAGGAAAGTGCATGAATTCTTCTTTAGGAATGAAATACCTACTATAGATAAAGTACTGCAGGAGGTAAATGGAGATACAACGTTGCCAAATTTCAAACGATCAACTTTGCATGCGTTACTGAAGCATTTAAATTTCAAATGGAAAAAACGGGGTCGTAATAGTTTACTACTGGATAGAGAAGAAATTGTGCTATGGAGGAGGGATTATTTAACAAAAATTGGGAAATATAGAAATCAAAACAGGAAGATTTATTACCTTGATGAAACGTGGGTAAACGCAGGACACACTACAAGTAAAGTATGGGTTGATGATTCTGTAACTTCATCCAGGAGGGCCTTTCTAGATGGACTGTCCACCGGATTAAAAAATCCAGCAGGTAAATACGAGTAATAGACAACAATCGGATGTTTTTCAAACCTTGGGAACAAGGTTCTAAACATTAATTCCAGGGGGCAGATAAAACATATTACAAGTAACAAAACTTTTATAACTTTCGATAAAATGCGTGGATGTTTTATTGTCATTTTCATTTGTTAGAACTTTTTTAAGCCATGTTTTTATGTGTTTTCGATATTTCAATAATTTTTTAATATAATCTTAAAATATGTCGAATATTATAAACTTAAAAAAAGTTACTAAGTTTTATATTGTGTACCGTTCCTAATATTTCTAATCATTTTAATTCATACTTTAAGCTTTATAAAGTTATAATTTGTTAATATTAATATTTGCGCGTATTTCAGGTTCCTGATCATTCATTTTTTAAAGGTTTATAACTTTGAATTAAATTGTGAAGCGCTGAGTAATCATACGACGTTCAATATTCTTTCTTTCAATATGACTAAATAATCCCAATTATAGCAATCTGATACCCATGTCTCAATGTTTTTTCGCTGAATGTGATGAAAACATTTGAAAAAGGTTCGCTTATTGAAATAAATCTACACCAGTTAGTACTTCGATTTCCAGGTAAAGGGAAAAGGCTCATTATCTGCCATATTGGCAGTGAGGATGGATTTGTTGTTGACGGTCTGTGGTGCTTTGAGTCTAAGAAAACTGGAGATTACCACGAGGAAATGAATGGCGAATCGTTTGAACAGTGGTTTTCAAAAATTTTACCGAACTTAGAGGAAAACGCAGTAATTGTGTTGGATAATGCGCCTTATCATTCTCGAAGAATGGAGAAGGTCCCAACAACGGCTTCAAGGAAAGTTGATGTTCAAAATTGGCTCCGCTCGAAAAATATCAACTTTGAAGAAGCAATGCTGAAAGTACTATTATTAAGAATTGTCAAGGATCACAAGGCGGAATATCAAAAATACGCCATAGACGAAATGGCAGCAAGTCAAAATAAAACTGTGCTCCGTTTACCTCCATACCATTGCGAGCTCAATCCCATTGAGCTCATATGGGCAGAGGTTAAAAATTATATAGCTAAGCACAATACAACTTTTAAATTTTGTGACCTCAAAGGACTTTTCAAAGAAGCACTAGAATTAATAACAGCGCAAAAATGGGAAAACTGTATTAAGCATGTGAAAGACAAAGTTGAAAAGAGAATGTGGGAACTGGACAATATTTTAGAGGAACAAGTCGAACCATTCATTATTGACGTTGGTGCTTCAGGCAGTAGCGATGATGAAAGCTCATCAAGCTCATCTTTCCAATAAAAGATGTCGTTCATCAAATTCGGTAAGTTATAAGTAATTATAAAGCTACTGTATTTTTTAATTAACTATTGACATTTTTGAACCCATTTTGGCAAAAAATATTCAAGAATCTACTTTCTGACAATGTTCAACCATGCACATTTTTTTACGTTTTGAACGTTTTAATTTGGTTACATATTTACCTAGAAATCAAAAAATATACTAATCAATATTCTAAAAGCAATTTTAAGAGATATACGATTATTTTTAATTTAGGCTAATTTAAACGCCATTTTGAGATTATATTCGACTGTATTTCACCAAACATCAGGCGGCATCCGAAGCTGGAAATCGAAGCGAAAATTTTGAAACCCTTATGTATATTTACATCATTATATATTTCTTACCCCACCCCCACATGATCCTATATCCATCACCAATCGTATACACATCGAATTGTGCTAATTTACTACAAAGTTACGCAAAGCAGCATCTACTATCTAAAATATGTACTGCGTGACTCTTAATACGTCCCTGCCGAATGTTACAGCCGGTCTATCTCTTATCTGAATATACTGTAAATACTAAGAGTCTGCAGACGACTACTGCGCATTTGGA